GGATACAGAACAATAATCTTTACCATTATCCATTGTTCTCATAACCTTCATAGAACTCTTTGGTCCATCACCAGCAAGCGAGAAAGCCAACAGTTGAAATTCATATTCTGTGTTCCTATCAAGTCCAGTGGCATAATAAGTGCGAATTTCTGACCCGGTAATAGTTAACGTCGTTGGCAAACCAACAACGTCTTTCTTTTTGTAGAACAGTTTAAATCCTTTGACGATTCCACGTTCGGAGTCTCCTGGAGATAACTGCCACGATGCTCTAATGGTGGTAGAGTTGGTTGCCATCACAGTAAACACGATGGGCGCTTGTGAAGGAACTGAAGTGTTCAAAATTATGTAACATCTTAGACAAACCTATGTAATTTCAGGTACATATCGACTATAATGCCCTTCAGATATCAGTTTTTCAGTTTTCATTTTTCCTGCTCATATGGACCTTTTGTAAAACCCCGTAATATTCTACAAAATAAGGCACAATGGATGTCAAGCTTAGCCCAGAACCATCAAAAACAAAGGAGAGTCAATCTTGCCTAGCTGAGCTCTCAGTATGTTGGAGGCTTTCTTTTTCTTTTTTCTTTTTTTTCTTTTTTTTTTTAATTAAATAGGGATTGGCAGTAGCACCTCCCACTGGAAGACTCTTCGTCGTTTTGAGGTCTGTTAGTCAGTGTTGTTTATGTCGTGTGACTCGTTTACGTTATCTTTCTAACTTTAAGGTATTTCTGCCAGTCTTGTCGATAAAGAAGCACAACGCAAAAACTGACCAATCAGGTTCAGGATTACTTTTTTCAAGGCTGCTGAAATGTCATTTATCAAAAACAGTTCTTTTCAGAACAACAACAACAACAACTTTATTTGTACTGAGCTAGAAATTAGAATTAGATGAACAAAGGTAAGTTAAAATAAAAAGAGTACATGGCTGCCCGAAATAACCTTAATGGGCTAATAACTACCCTCGATACATATATACTACTCCGTTCACACCATACCATTCATCAAAAGTTACAGAACTGATTGGCTGATTGGCTAGCTCGGAGGTGATTAGCCAAGTACTATTCACCTCCGAGCAGCCGAAGAAAAACAAAATGGCTTCCCGTTTCAAATAAAGTTATTCTTAAACAAATAAAGTTACTCTTTGGTCCGCTAGTTATTTAGCTTGTGTGGTATATACTAAAACAATTTTATATTCACCTCCACTTCGGTGAATAATTGTTTATTATTAAATCGGACCCTTTGTACACCGTATCATATTCGTAATAGTTGCAGCTATCACAAACGTACCTGTAGGTTTAAGTACTCCAAACACTTCTACTCTGAGAGCCTTATGAGTCGAGAATTGCGTTGGCTGGAACCTGATAAATCTTGCTCTTGTGATTTCTTTGAGGTTGTGTTTCACTATATCGTTTCCCCCAGAATTACCATTGAAAACCTAAAAAACAAAGTAACCTGATAAATCTTGCTCTTGTGATTTCTTTGAGGTTGTGCTTCACTATATCGTTTCCCCCAGAATTACCATTGAAAACCTAAAAAACAAAGTAGCAGCAGCATTGTCACATCCTATACCTGATTTAGGTGTCTGTATACTGCTTTTTTTTTTCTTTTCTGGTTCATTCCAAGCATTTTCAGTCAGCTTTTTTTTAACAGTCTTCCTTGAATCGGATCGATATGAAAATTACAACAGTAACTGGTATGGATTGGAGTTTGGTATATCGAATTTCATTGAAGCGAAAAAAAAAAAAAGAAAATCGGTCAAACATGAATTTTGCGCGAACCAGATGTGATATGAAGAAGTTCATAACCACGTAAGCTATGGTGCTTGACAAGTCGTGGTCTATTTTCGTAAACGAACTAGCGGTACTCGTCAATCTTTTGTCTTTTCTACGCTTTCATCGACTATTAAAGGAGAAGGTCACTCCCCAAATGTATATTTTTTTTGTCAACGCTAATAAAAACCTCGCACTTAGTTTAGCCACTTTCCGAAGTTTCAGCCTCTGAAGTGCAGGTTTTCCTTATGAAATTCTTCTCCAAAGAAGTCCAAAATTCGACATCGTTGTTGCCATTTTGAACAGTACTCAGCAGCCAGGCCGCGTTTTCGTGACGTCATTCCGTCAAGAGCTTTTGCCCAAATGGCTTTCCGACAAGCCTTTTAATTACCACTCTGGGTTATGGCTACTCTTGATCAGTATTATTTTGAGCCAAACATGCTCCAAACTCCGAAAATGATAGCATTAAAGAAAGTGAAGTGGATAATCGCTTGGAAAAAATACATTTTTCTGACTTTGTGAAGGATGCAAAGCCAGTTGCAGGTCTTTCTTTTTCCCACCAATTTTGAGTCGGACAGAATGACGTCACATAAATACGGCCTGGCCGCCAAGAACAGTTTCAAAATGGCTGCCTCCGTAGTCGATATTTAGGCCTCTTTCGAGACGAATTTCTCCGGGATAGTAGCCACTTTGGAGGCTAAAACTCCGGTGAGTAGGAAAGCTGAATGTTTCATTGCTATAGGTCAAGGCAACAAAGTAACCCTTTTTGGAGTGACCTTCTCCTTTAATCAACGCAAATTTATCTTTATTTACTTTAAAATGGAAAGGAAAGTCACTGTAAGTAGATTCAATTTTGTGTGTTGAAGTTGTGAGAGTTTTAGTAGACGGCATGTAAACCGATTCAATGACAAAGTAACTGTTTCGTAAGCAAACCCATTTGTAATTAAAACCAAGTTACCGCAGGAAAAAAAAAATGAACATGTTATTTGTCCTCTTAGGGTCGGTCCATATTGTGAAAAACTGTGACCTCTGCCTTGAAAATTCAGCATTTTCAAGACCCCGGTCACAGTTTTTCACTATACGGTCCTCCCAGCCGGCAAATAACATATATTTGTTATCATCATCATCATCATTATCATTATTACTATTATTGTTATTATTATTATTATTATTGTCATTATTATTATAGTAGATATATCTATTGTTGTCTCAAGCTAATACAGAAATACCCCCTATTCATGAACAACACCCCTTAGAGATCCCCATAGTTAATTGTAGCCCGTTACTCTTCAGTGCCATGAATCACCGTCGTTATTAGCCTATAGTGAAACGAGCTTGGAACAAAATGCACAATGACATGATAGATATCAGACCGTACATGATACTTGTTTTTCGAGAGGAGTCTTTTTTTTCCCCTTGACTGATGATGCTAGATAGCTAAATAACAGTAGTTATAACTATCTCACACGTCATTGAGACAAACCTTATCTGTTTTGTTTTCCTGATAAGTATGCCAATCATTATTGTTTAGTGATGTAAGTAACTTGTACTTTGTTGTCCATTGATCAGCGGTTGACCTTCCTTGCGTAGCCACAGCACAGATAAGGAACTCGTATTGCAGGTCAATTTCTAAATAGTCGTTAGGATTGTTGTTGTTGCTGGGTGACCAAGCACCTGGTCCGTTAAGTCGACCTTTAGACGGTGCATTACTACCCCTCGTTGACGAGGCCGAGAAACTGCTGTCTGGTATAGTGTAGCTGCTTGCCACTCCGATGGCCTGGATTTGACATGCTGAAACGTAATCAAGCAGCCTGTAACGCAAATTCCTATTGGTTCAAATATTTATCGTTGTCTTTATGGATATATTATTTGAGTAACATTTGGGCTTAGTACCAGCAAATGTTGTGGCTTGGGTAGCTTTCTTTTTCATTTAGTTATATTTTCATAACACCACACCGTGTAAGAGCAGTTTTACTCTAAGCACCCTTAAACGATTATAAAATATTTTGTAACTAAGCTAACTAAACACAAACACAGCATGACTTAGGAGCGGGCATCTCGATTATATTGATGCAGGATACAGCGAGCGTTACATCATAATACAGAAAATACAGCAGCGAATAAACAAAACTGAAAGCAAAGTTCAAAGAGATGCCTTCGAGTGGCTCTTGCATAACTAACAAAATCTGAAATCTAGGGATTCATCACATCTGCCGCCTAGAGTACCTCTACAGTTAACACGAAGCATACATAATGAAGATGCTCCAGCGTGATTAGCAAATCGTTACAAAATATATTTTCTTTCTCTAAATTTAGACACTTTTTGTCATGTCGAGGTCGGTAAAATAAGTCGAAAAACGAAAACGTCTCAGTCTAAAATATTCTGTCTGCAGTCAAACAATAATGCCGGACCTTTCAAAATGGTAGGCAATATGTCTTTCTTTGAATAACGGATTAATTAATGGAATGATTCTCCTGCTCATTTATGGGTGATTCAACTGTCGGTTGGATGTACCTCAAACTTGAAAACTCACTCTATCATCGTAGCAGTTCTCCTTAAGGAAAAATCTGTTTGAATCTAAAGAATTGCAATGGTTATACTGATCTATGTGGAAGCAGATGTATAACCATCTTAAATGAAAATTCAAAACATGTCGCCGCAGCTGCTCTCCTTAAGGAAAAATCTGCTCAAATCTAGAGAATCTTTCATTGTAATGGTTATACGTGATCCATATGGGAGCAGATTTAGAGCCACCTAAATCTTTCGAAAAAAAATGAACTTGGCAAATACTTGTATTTTAACATGCTAATCACAAAGTATCATGAGAAAACTGTTGCTATGGTAACCTATCACGGAAAAGACCATAACTTTTTCACCAACTTTTGAGAATGATCAACGAAACCGAGAAGTGCCATTGATAGAACAAAGAAGAAGTGATGAAAAATGCTAAGAGCTGTTATGAGCCTCCTTAAAAGTGAGGATCGGAGTATACAAAATAACTTAGACGACAATGCAGCGCCCTATTCAATATCACCTACATTTCCGTGTTGTGATTTTGAGTGGAACATCCTTCTGGAGGTTCCGGTTTGTTTCAAACAAAGCGAAGCGAATAATTATTCATCCTCTAGTGACTAAGACTAAATGATCAAGCATTATATCAAAAATGTTGTACCTCGTCTTGCTGAATATACTTCGACTTCACAGAGTGTGAGTCGCTCATTGCTTCTTAGACTTCTGATGGTCACGTATCGCCCGTATAAATAGGGACGACAGTAAAAGGATTTACCCACTCCTTGAGGAACGGCGTGGATACTACCACACCTAGGATTAGCCACACCTCCATCACTAGACAATGAACCTTTTTAGAGAAAAAAATCAACGACATTTTAGCTGATTGAAAATAAAAGTGACATAAATTTTGACCGTTACAAATTAAAAGCTACACAGTACATGCAAAATTCGAGATGTTTTTCATACAGAGTTGATCATATTAACAATACTCTGGCAGTTATGTCTATTGTTTCCGCTTGAAAAAGTCTATAAAATAATAAATTAAAGCAATAATGTCACGTTTTTAGTTGCCTTTCTTCCGTGAGTCTCAAGACGTTTGAAAGAGTTTCCGACCGCGATGTAAAGTTAGGGAAGTAACTGTTATTCCTTTATATATTCTAGATATGTCGGCTGTAGAATTTGAACATGCAGTCAGAGGGCGTCATTCAGCTAAAGAGACAGTCTTACTGTTTGGTAAATAGGCGTTTTGAATGCGAAATGTAAAGTCGACCCGATACTGAGCATTTACTTTCTACCCTCTCAGGTTAAACAACCATTCGATTCAATAGCCCATTTCCGAGTTGAACTAAGCCTCTCTATCAAAGCGAGGCCTGGTGCACAACCATTCATATGAAATGAGTTTAATTTGCATGCGAATAAAATATCATTTTCATATGAAAGGATGGGCACCAATACTCGCTTTGAAAAAAAGGCTTAAGGTAATTCGGAAATGACATGTTCATCGTAGTAGCCTGACCTACCCACTCTGATCTCGAAATTCTCCAATTGATCGCCACAACAGTCACCTCTGTTAACTATGTACAATTCAGACACGGGCTCTTTTCGTCCCAGGTCTATCCTCCACCAGGGTTGATTTGCTCTTTCTGTGCTTGCGCATGCGGATCCAGCATAAAGGCTTGTGTTACTGTTACCATCCACTGCTCTGCTGCTGTCGAAACCACTGTATGTACTTATCTGATCCGTGTGCCTGCCAGATGCCAAGTTTTCTTGAAAATAAAAGCAGAGATCGATTGTCATGTAAGTCACAAAGTACATTTTTAATTGTATTGTGGGTTTTAGTGGCTAGTACAATGAATTTCGGCCTACCAAGAGTGGCCATCTGAATTTGCAAAATAAGGTTGTTGTTGTAGTTGTTGTTGCTGTTGTTGTTGTTGTTACGATAGACTATAAATATCAGTCATATCGAGTTTTGAATTTGAATTTAATTCAGCAAAAGCGTCTGCATGAAGTAGTGCTTGATCTTGAAAATAATGGTTTTAAACTGCTCTACGCATTTGCTCAATTCGAATCACTCGTTTGCCCGTTAGGAACTGGGATTAAAACTTTGAGCATTCTGGGAAACAGGATTCAAACTAAACATTCGTAATTGCCTGTTCTTTATCTGCAAAGTGTCTTGGATGTTTTAATTTGTTCTCGTACCTACAAACTATCCAGTTTCTTTTATTTGCTTTTATTTACATATCCTTCCTTACCTACCCACCCTACCCTACACCCCAACCTCATCTACCCTAACCCAGCCTATTTTACCCTACTCTACCCTATTCTACATCGTATTATGCATTACGTATATTACATTGTATCGCATTACTTCTTATTACAATCAAAATGTACTCAAGAACATGTATTATAAGCTTTGCAAAAGCTCCCCGGAAGAAGAATGTTTTCTTGACTAATGAAAAGAGAAAACTTTGAATTATACTTGCATTTATTCAATCCGCATTCGAGACTCGAGAGGCGTTGGAAATCGTGGATGTAGCCCCCTCGTGTTTAGATAAGGCTAATTAAACACGGAAAAAGTACTCTATTGCTTAATGTAAATACCTCTTGAGTATATCTCCACTTCACAAAGGGTAAGCGTCTCTTGCTTCGTGGTCATGATACCAACATATCTTCCAGTCGTCAGTGGATTCGTGAAACATAGAGCTGATGCTTTGAACTGAATGAAACTGTAGAGTCCCATACATTGAGGATTTTCTGTCACATTTGGGTTGTTACCTGCATTTTAAGACGCTATTACATTGGACTGGCTTCCAAAAGTTTTATGACAATTAATTAAGCTTTGTATGAAGTCTTGGGCATTGTTGAAGTCTGTAGTGTCAACTAACGCGGAAAAATATCAAACAATAATTATTTGTTTTCGATTGATATGTTTGCAGCTGTGAATAACAAAGGTTGTAAAATGTAACTAAGTAGTTCAGATTGGGCGGGAAAATGTTATCCGCGCCAAACAGGTTTTTGCTTACTCAATATTGACCCTTTATATTTGAATGACTGTAGTAGTGTTCAACATGGCTTTTCATACTTCCCGTATAAATCTGAATTTTATTTATAAGCGAGACTGGATAAAGATAGTCCCTTTGAAACCAATTAACACTGCAAAAGATAAACAGTTTTC